TTAAAACCCCTAAAAAACATTATGAAGCATTTGATATTGATTTAATTGAATACTTATAATAAAATTTTAAGTAAGATGTCTTTTTAATTTTTTATATCAGAGGATAATATTTTGTGTCATTACACTTTCTAAATAAAGTTTGAATGGTGAAGATATTAATTTGTACTTTAATTAAATTGTTTATTTGGAGGTAAGTATTTTTTTTTATATTTGACTTATTGCTTCAGGTGACATATTGAACAAATTTGATGCTAGACTCAGCTCTCCCTCATTCTCTGATACATTTATATCCCCTCTTCTTCGCTACTCCAACGATATACTTTCAAGAGCCTTCTTAAGTGTCACAGATTGGATGTATGCCTCAATTCGGTCTGCAACATCTAGCTGAAATTTAATAATAATACATAAATAATTTTATTCAATATTAAATCTACATATAAACAACAGTTTTATTCATTTTACACAAAAAATAATTTAAAGGTTTTTATTATGTTTTTTTTTTGTTGTATTATTTACCACATGTCAACTTTTCAAATTTGCTTTAAAATAAATTATTTTTTTATATTACTCTAATTATTTCAAAAGCAACAACAAAAACAGCAAGGAACAAATTTACTATCTGTAATCCCATTTAGTAGGCAATACAACAAACTTATTTGTAATAACAGCAAATCCTAAGCGCCAGGAAAATGCATTTTAGGAAATTTTTGCCTTCGGGGCACTTTCCTGCGAATAGTGTCATAAGTAGATAAATTTATAATATTTAATCCAAAATTTTATGATTACATTAATTATTGAGATCTCCAAAAAAATTTTTATTTTATGATAAAGCTCTATTAAAGTTCTTTGACTTGATATTATTTCTTTGGTTTTTTCAATAAAATTTCTTGCTCTTTTTTTTTTATTCTTATTAAATTTTTTATTTGGAAGTTTATATGTCAAAATAAATAAAAAAAATATTATTGTTATGATTAAAGTCATGACAATTATAAATTTTAAATTATAGTAGACCAATGAATAGATCTAAACAATTTTCTTTTTGGTTTTGTGATTTCATTTATCAAAATCATTCTTTTGTTAAGTATAATTTACATACTATGTCCTATACAACCTATACTTAATTATTAAAATTATTTAATAAAAGATTAGATGAAAGAATAAAACTTTTTAAAAAATAAATGTTTGGATATTTGTTTTAATATTATTTTTATGCATAAAACTTACGTTGTAATGGCAACTATTGTTTTAGTGTATAGTGAGTGCTTAAAGATATAATTGTTGAGGAATTGTTTAATTAAATGCCATACGATAAAATAATTAAAAAAATTATTTCAACCATTTTATGACATTCAGTATAAAATTTACACAGCACTTTTATTCAACAAGAATTATTTAATAGATATAGATTGCGATTTTTACAGCACTTAATATTGTTTTTGTATCCAGCTTTATTTTATAGCACCTTTATATTTTTTTAAATCAAAATTTACTTCATCTTTTGTCATATTCTGTTACATTATTAACCCTCTAATATGTCAAACACTAATATTCCTTTTTTATTGAATATTTTTGATATAATTTTCGTTTATTACAATAAAATATAAAATATATTATACGTAAACCTTTTGCAGAATTTTACTTTTAAACAGCCAACAATAACTTATTAGATAATACGAATTTTCAAAGCGATAATATAAATAAACATTAAATAAAATATTTTCATTCTTCATATATTAAAAATTTAAGCGATAATTTACAACCAGTAATTTGATATGGCAAATAAATTATAAATGCGATGTGCTAAAGAAGATTGTAAATTTATTAAAGAAAAATATTAAATATTATATTTTAATTGTCCTAGCAGTTAAAGTTATGTCAAGATTTACAAATATTTGTCCTATCTATTACACCATCTTTTAAACTTAACATTGTTACTCGGCTTTTAAAGATCTTTTTGTTTAATCCCCGTGTTAATAATTATTCTTATTTCCTTTAAATTTGAATAAATATCATCATAAAATGATGATAAAACTTCACACATGTCTTCTCAAAAACAATAATAAACCAAGTCTACAAATCTTATCTATCAGATATATCTAATTTTTCTACAAAGCTTCTTTTTTAACATCTTTCCAAATGGTGAACTTAGCTATCCACCCAATATCCCCCAAAAATTAATTGAGCTTTTGTAAATAAATAAAACACTACATTGGTATTTTTAATATTCTTTAATATACATCTATTATTTTTCCCCCAAGAGTATGTTCTACGTATATGCACGTTATTATTGTCATCGCACTATATCTGTCATATCTTAATCATTTACACCAAATGCTTAACGTCCTTGTAATCAACCAAAATCTATAATATTGCTTCTTATATCAATTTATAATTAGTTAAAGTTTTTTTCTTTACCATGTTGAAAAACATGTAAATTAAAGGAGTAATTTCTTAAATAATATTATCAATACGATGTATGTAAGATAAGTAAATTAACATTAACAAACAATTTTCAATTTAAGTAATTTTGAGATATTCGTATTATTTATTACAATAGCATATACAATTTTGTTGGAACGCAAGACACATGTCAAATATCTATGTGTTGCTTGGTTTAAGATATTTGACATGTTCAAGTATGTATTTACATTTTTAATAAACCCGCGTTTTCTGATAAGCAATTTTTAGGTAACAACAAATATAAATATATTCCTTCTTTTTTTGAAAAAAACATTACTATAAATTTTGCAAAGAAGGGGTATAATAACAAGAAAACTGGATAAAGAATAACAAATCTAAAGTTGTTTTACAAAGGCGAGTTTATCTGATGTATTCTGTGTCAACCATATTTATTACAAATTTAAAGACTTGTATAAAAGCAAATTATCTATAACAATTATCTGATCAATTAATTATTTTTAAATTTAGAAGATTATCTTTAAGCACCCAGTTGTGGCATATTTTTTTATTTTTTTAACTATGTATAATATTTAGATTATTTTCAAAGTCTGAATATAGAGTGTCTTTAAATGTAATTTTGTTTTTCTACATAACCGTAGGGTACAAATTTGTAAAAGCATTACAACAATGGATTAGTATTACTTTCCACGAAACACATACAAAGATAATTATAAATTTTTTATAAGGCAATATATAAAATCTTTATTGATAATACACAAATACTATAGTTGAAACGGATTTATGATTTTGTTATTAATCAAAAATATTATAAAATTGGCTAATTTTTCATGTGTATATAGTATACATGTTATATCTATATCTAAAGAGTTATTGTACAGGACAGTATATCTATAAATCTCAGATTTTAAGTAAAAAATATTTTTACAAAAAGATGTGTGTTTTTGGCTTAGTTTTTCTACAATTTACAATTTCCTTTATTTTATGTATTTTACATTTTAGAAAATTCTAAATAATTTAAAAGTTGCAAAGCGGTGTTAGATTTTTAGTGATAAACTGGATATTATAGCAAATTAATGTAAAAATTTAATTATAATGACGATAACAAACCCTTTTGTAGTTTATATAGAAATTTTAAAAAAAGATTAAATTTAAAAGTATATAATCAAAATGCGAATATGGTAGCACCCTTTTTTGCTGGAAGGCCAAAATATTTTTTAAAAAAGTATAAATTTTTATATAAATAATCTAACACTTTACAAATATTATATCATTTATATGATATTATGAAAGGGATATTGAACGTATTTGAAAGCGTAAATTGTGCTATAAAAAATATTCTGTCAATATTAAAATTTTAATTATGCATAATATATTACTAAAAAGTAATGTATAAATGTTATATAAATACTTACATTATTTTTACATTTGACTAAGCATGAAAGAAAATAGATAGATCTTAAGAATTTTATTAATAAGCTATCTATCTCCTTCTATTTTTTTCCATTTAAATAGTAAATCTTGGAAGTTAAATGTTTTTTCTATAATGTGCACCTTATTTTTTTTATTAGTTACCAGTAATTCTTGCAGTTCTTTTACTTTGTTAGAAATATTAAAATTTTTATTCTCTTCTTCAATTACAATATTTTTTATCTCTTTATACAACTCAGCTTTTAATTCTGGCGCTCTTTTTTTCCCAGTTTTCTTTTCTTCTCTTGGCTTTTTTGTTTCATTCAATCTATTTCAATAAAATTGTTCCCCCTTTCTCTAATATTTTCTACTTTTACTTCATTCCGAATAAAATACCTAGCTAAATCTAATGCGGGCTTCCCCCCTACATTAGATTTGCCAGGTCTTGGCAACTTCGGCTGAGACTGAATAAGTGTAATATTATTAGGTAAAACTTTTTGATTATTCTTCACTTTAGATTCATCGTTGCATTTCTTTTCCTTGCCAACAAGTCTATCAAATTCTGCTCTTTTATTGCCAGCTCTAACTTTTTTTGACATTATTAATTTACAAAAATTTTTTTATTTATATTTTTTTAGATTTATTATCTTTTAGACTATTGACTTTATAAATGAGATATATGAATAAACAAATAAACAAGTGAACAAAGTACAATTTTTAAATATTCCCGTGATAACATCACAAAACAGATAATATAAAATTATATTTTTTTTAGTTTATCTATAAAGTTCATGAGCTGTAAGATTTTATGGTAAATTGGGTTTTATATATTTTTAGATATAAAAAATATTAAAAAGATAAAATAAATCTTTTATTTGCGTATATAATTTAAAATAATCTAATCATGAAACAATTTTGCTGTTTACTATTTTAATTATGAAATTTACATTTTATCAGTATTGGCAGGCTTAAAGACATCAACCTCTCTTCACTACCGTCTACAAGATCAATGTTCCTCTATACCCAAAAAAAACGCGTTTCAAGGCTTTATTTGGTTTTATTGATTCGATATGTATGCTTATATTATAGTTGTAATCTCAAGCCGTTTCTTATGGCTATCATGTAGCTAGTTATCACGCTATTATAAATAATTAATAAAAGATGTAAAATCATCTATTTGGGTAAATTTATTGGTAAGTACATCTTATTTTCTAAGTTAAATTTAAAAATAAAGATATTTGTCGAAATAATTTTTTAAATTCCAGTGATATTTCAGAAAAACGTTTTAGTTTAATATTGATAGTTAGTTGGTAATAAGAATTTTAAAAGCTTTACTATTATTTACCTATTAGATAGAAACATAATAAAACAATATCATTCAAACAATAAATTTAAAGAATTTAATAAGTTTTAATATTTCAAAAGTTTAAGCAAAATACGTAAAATGCTCTAAGACTATTGTAATATAAAAAAAATTAAATAAATTTAAAATATGCTTTATAAACAAATTACACCCTTTAAAATTTATTTTTTTTACTGTTTTAATATTGTATTTAGTACTAAATATGAATATTCTATGGCAAGTTAAAGTATATTTATACAAAGTAAACACGATTTATAAAACAGGCTGGAGAACTTCTGACAATGCTGCAAAATAACATCGCGCTGTTCTAAAATCCAGAAAGCTAGTTTTGTATATGTGCAGAATATAGCATTGTATTTAAATTTTGTATTTTGCGGGCGGAATTAATAATATTTTTAATATCATTTTTGCAGATTGAGAAATTTTAATAGTTTTTTATATTAGCTGACAGGTATTCTAGCGGACACGGCACATAAAATGCATACATATAAATTGTTAATATATTAAATATCAATCTTATATACGGTGCTTTTTTAAAATTAAATTCATTTTAACACTTAAAAAGAAACATATAAATTTTTTTAAAAAAATATATTGGTATTTTTTCAAAATTTATTTTAATCAAAATATAAGAAGGGCTTGTTGAAAAAAATTCTGCAAGACTTTGTAGAATTTTTAGTTTATTGTAAATTTTGCTATAATTTTTTGTTATTATTATGTTTAAATCTTTTCTTGATTTCATTTTTTTAAGATGTAATGTTTTGTTACTATTTTTTGACTAATTTAGTTTATTCATTATTCTAAACCTTTCTTAATAAAAAAGTTTTTTTTAATTTATATCTTTTAATTTTTTTGTTTTAATATACCTCCAAACTTTACACAATTTATCTCTCAGAGTTTGTAAACACTTTCCGTCGTTTTTTATAAATTTCAATTATCAGAATGCAATTGGGCTCGATAAACGTAAGCTTTAAATTTAGTTTAACACATCTTATGATTAATTACAAAACCATTGTTCTTTTTTTAGTAAAATCGTGCATGTAATTTTGTTTATTAGGATATAACTCTAATAAAATAACAAATCAATATGATGTGATAAAGTTAAATGTGTGGTTAAAATAGATGCAAAAAGATTTAAGGATATTTTAATGGTAATATTAAATTAGGTAATAAAACAAATATTAAGAAGTTTTTTCATGGCTTATATTATATACAAACATTTGTTGTTGTTATTTTTGTTAAACATGTTTATTGATTAAAATTTTTTTATGTAGACATTTATGCTGATCGTTTCACGTCAACACACATGTCTTGGATGTGAAACAACTTTTGTATCGAACATCGCCCTTGGCCAATATCAACTTCATAAAGTCTATACATAACAACATTATTGCCAGATAATTGTTTTAATAGAATAAAATATGTTATATGAAAATTGATAGCGCAGCAATACAAGGATTTAGATAATAAAACTAAAATATGTCTATAATATTTCGTATATTTTTTTAGTTACTGATTTTGTTGGTCTAAAAACAAGTATTCGAAAAATTAAAAAGTAGTATAACGTTCTTCTCACTTAATTGCAGTAGACTATAATCAACAACTAATTAAAATGCGTACTTTTTAACCTTATCTTAAATAGTTTATAAAATATTTATATTGTTGTGCAAACTGGCATGTTTGACAGAAAAATATTTCTGTGGCAGAAAAGAGTTTAATGATGCTGCGGAAAGATTCATAAATTCCTAATTTAGTATGTTTTTATTTAATAATTTTATTGGTAAAGGACTTACAGACATTTAAATAATTGTTACTGCTTTGACCCATATCGACTAAACAACTATCTTATTTAAATTATAAGTAACCAAAAAGAGTTAACTGTTTAAAAATGTACTAGTACCCAATTTTGCTAATTAATAAGTCCAAAATTTCGGCGATGAACTAAATAATTGATCCATTTAACAAATTTGAAACACAATACTGTGTCACAAAACTCTTTAACAATCTTTTTCTAACTCTTAATCTTGTGTTTTATTTTTTCATTGTTACAGCAGTGTAATTGTTTTTATTAGCATCTTGGACTCTTCTGCTACATAAGGTTTATATACCCAAATTATATTATCAATTCATTTTTTTAAAGATTTCCAATTGTCTTCTAGCATTGCTTCATTGAGAAATTCATTTATACTAAGTTCTTTTTTGCTTTATCAAAAACAAAAGATATTATCCAGATATTAAAGCTAATTTGTTTAATAAAGTCCTTAATTTGACTATCATTTCAAAATTTACCAAATTCATTCTATTTTTTTTGCTCGCGATTACACAATATCTTTTGAAAACATCCGGTTATGTTTTTTAATAGCCTAATCTACTATTTCGTGTGTAGTGGTGTAAATTTCTTTCATTTATTAGCATTGTACATACCATGCTTAACACATGCTCTGATGATTTTTTTAATAGGTAATCTTTGCATTAAAGTAAAATGCTTGATTTATGACTTAACATTTAAAAGATTTTAATGCTTTTATGTAAGTTTACAACTGTCTAATTATACAGGCGAAAATCTATTCATTATATTTACTATACATTTACTTTATAGTTTTCATCGATTGTTTTAGTTAAATTTTTCCTTAAACAATCTGCGTATCCAATATATAAATAAAGATGCCAACCTCTGTCTAAAAAAATTCTTATAAACTTTTATTATTAAGCCTTGTTGCACTTGCAATTATATGCTCATCACCACAAGATCTACCCTTTGGTTTATCATATTTATCAACATTAAACTTATATAAATCGTTTTGTTCATACTTTCCAATTTATATATGGGTAAGGGTAAAATTTATTTAATATTAAAATTTTTTATAGAAATGTTAAAATTTGTTACATGTATTAAAAATTTTAATATTTATAAACATGATATTTATATAAAAATACGAAAAATTTTATTGTCTTAAGTAATTTATGTCACATCAAAAAAGATATATTTTATTTGTAAAATCTAATTTAATTGTATTTTTAAAATAAATCTTCAAATAAAAACAAAGAAATTGTGAACTCCAGTATAGTAATAATATTTTGTTATTTATTTACTTAATGTTATATCTATTATTTTATTACCCCTATTATATTTATCGCTGATCTAGGGCAATATAAAAAAAATTATTTGCCGAGCGATGGCTGTGGACAAAAAGTCATAAGATTGTTATGTTAAATTTAGATAGTGTTGTGGGGTTTTTATGTAAATATAAATTACTTAGAAGAATTGTTTAGGTTTAAGCTTCTTATGAATTTTTAGAAAGAGAATGAAATTTGTAAAAGTAGATGAAATTGATTTTTTAAGTACAGAATTAGAAGAAACGAAATAATGTGAAAAAAATTATTTAAGAAGAAGTGATAGGTAAATAAACTAAGTAAAGTCGAAGTTAAAGTGATTTGGTTATGACATAATAGTAAAACTACAAAAAGAGAGTTATTAAAGAAAAGTTAAACAGTTTTTTTGCAGCAAATTCAGTTAATAATATTTCAACCAATTTTGACTACATAAAGTTTATTTTTTTAGGTTAAATAAAGTTAGATATAATTGTTTCTCGCCGCAACCAATATTGTCTTGGGGGAAGTTCCGTGAAAAGCGGCTATGGGTCTAACCAAAGCCACGTTTTTGATTTTAAATTTTTAAAGTATTTAAACAAAAGTTTTGACATGTGTATGTTAACCTCAGCGCTGACAATAATATGCAAAAATGTATAATTAGGATACTATGTAATAACAAAATACAAACAATCTTTTAAAAAGGTTTATTCTAGATTTTTTTTTTTAATACCTTTTTAAATTCTAAAAGTTTTTTGTAAAATGAATTGAATCTCTTGTTAAAACTTTTCGATAACTTTCTAATTTTACAAAAAGTACAACTGGAAGAACAGATATATTCATTACCAACCATATGTAAGCTTTTAAACTTTGATTTAAAAATAAAAAGGTTTTCGGACACCACGGCATATCCTTTAAATTTCTTATATGCTAGATTCAACGAATCTACAAAATCTTGCATTGGTGCTTGAGCTGCATTAGTTGTAATTGGATTTATTGTATCTAAAAAACTTGAAAGATTACTTAGAGCAAGGATTGATCTGTGCTTTAAGTTATTAGATAAATTAGATATTTCAATTTTTTCTATAAATTGTAATATCTTTTTATTAATATTCGATTTACAAAACTTTCTAAAGTCTCTTTCGGATTGCTTGTATTTTTTATAAAGTTTACGTTCGTTGGCTGTAAAAATATCAGCCAAATATATCCTATTATGGTTGTTTTTATTTTTAGATTCTAAAGTTTCTACAATGTTATATTTTCGAATATTAGGTATAATGTTGTCTGTTTTTGATTTTTTCTTTTTGATTTTTACGTTTTTTTTATTTTTGTAGGCACTACTGGAATATTTGCTATTTTTTGGCTTTTTAATTGATGAATCAATAACATTAGATAGTTTATTGATTTGAGAATTATCTGGTTTATTGATACAATTAGTTTCCCCGTGGCAAGACTGGTGGTCTGATAAAACAGTAACATTATTAAATTTTTGTAAAGAAGTGTTGTTTTCTTGATTGATATATTGTTCATGTAATAAATCATTTTTAGTTGAACGTAATAACATATTGGTGGTATTTTTGCAGAATTCACTTTTGTGAGAATGTTCCGCCGTATTATTTTTCGGTTGTTTAATTATACAAAATTGTTTATCACGTTTTAAAGTAATATGTTGATTACTTATGCTATTTTGTGCTATAAAATTACTTTCAGAAGTCATTGACAACATTTTATCACTTAAATTATAATCTACATTATTATATCCGTTATTAAAACTTTCATCTATGAAATTTATCAGATCATCTAAAATATTAGAATTAGATTGGTTTTCATAAAAATTTTTATCTCCTGTTTTAGTTAGTTCTTGATTCTTTTGTTGTGTCTCTTCGTTTTCACATAATTCTTTTTTTCCAAATGCTTTTAAAATATCTGATGTATTTTCTATTTCTGATAATAAATTAACATCTAACATTTGTGTTGAACAAAAAATTGTCTTTAACCAAAATAACATTTAACGGCTAAAATATCTGTAAAATTTATCTGATAAATAATTTTAATACTTATTTGTATTTTATGTTATTTATCTGATAAAACGATGTTGATATGATATGGCATACTACAACAAAAAAGTATATTTTAAAAAAAATAAATTAAATTTTTATAAAAAATTTTACTTTGGTGAATAAAAAATCCTGCAGTAAAAAATTCTATGTTAAAAAAAAAAATACAGAAATATTGTATCGGAAAAAAAATATATAAATATTTCTTTCACTCCTATATTTGTTGTACTCACGATGACCAATCTTAAGAAAATTGTGTGTTTTAACATTTCATACGTATGAACATTAATATGTTTTCTTAATCTCAAACATAATTTAAAATGTAATTATTTATGTAAAGATTTGAAATAAATATGCATAATCTAGCCTAATTGCTAACAACTTCCAAAAGTATTAAAACTTTATCAAAAAAACATTTTAAAAAAGCGAT